TTAAATTTCAAACGATTTGAAATAATTGATTTTATAAAATTCAAAATATCTATCAAGTTATTTTAAATAGTTTTGTTTTTTTTATATATAATTTTTAAATAATAATATGTCTTTTATATAACTTTGTATACAATTAGTATATTTTATGAATATTCAAAACTCGTCTCAAAAAGAGTTTAATTTTACTTAATTAGTTGGTTAATTGATTTAGTTAGTTAATACCTATATTTTTTAGTTATTAATCTATAATTAAGTTAATTATTTTATTTCTTTAAAATTAAGAAGCTCGTTAATTAATCAATATTAATTTATCTTGTTTGAGTGCTAGCCGAATTCACTGATTAATTTCAATTCGGCTAAGTTTTTAAACTCAATGAGCTGTAATTTTAATTCTTGGTAATTCCAATTGGTAGTCATCTCGTCACTTTGACTTCAACCCACCAGAAAAGCCCAAATTCATTTCCAAAAGAACCCAACAATACATACAATACAACAACAGCCCATTCCCTTCAATACACCAATTCCCAGTCCACAATAACATACAACAACACCAAAACAAAAGACCCAATGCTTTCAAATAACCATACCAACAACATACGCACACAACAATACCCATTGATCCCTGTACGTCAATGTCTTCTTCTCCAGCGTGAAGCGGTGCCCATAAAATTGAAACCCAAATCGAGTCCAGCAACAATTCAGCCCAGCTTGCGCGTCCCGCTTTCACTCTTTTAAATTTGATTTGGAATGTTGCTTTCTGTTTATATGAGGGCTCGGTGAATATATAGATTGTTTGATTAGGTGGCCTAATTGCAAATTTTTTTCATATTACTTGGTGCCTATGACTATTAAATAGTAGTCATTGTTCTTCATTGTTTTTTTTTCTATTCTTTGGCTTCTAGTTTAGAGTTTAACTATGGCTTTATTTGTTTACTGCTTGTACTCTTCAATTAATTATCAATTTGTTAATGAAATACTCCCTCCGTCCCTATTTAGTTGTCCACTTTAGAAATAGCACACATATTAAGGCAACAATAATTAGCATAGTGAAGTTACAATTTTGCCCTTATTAATTATGATTCCAAAATAAATTTATTCAAAATAATTAATCAATGTTGGGGGAAGTTTAAATAAGGGTATAATAGAATTTTTTTTTTCTTTTCTTGATTTGTCAAAATGGACAAGTAAATAGGGACATCTAAAAGAGAAAATATGGACAAGTAAATAGGGACGGAGGGAGTAGTAAGTTAGTAGCAGTAACTTGAATACGAAGAGTTGGGTCACTATAGCATGGTTTTAGTTTTCTTTTAGTTTTTTCTTTCCATTTATTAGTAATTGTTGAAATCATTATTAGTTGTCAGTACTTCATTTATTATTTTCATTCCATTTCTCTCAAGGCTAAGGAAGTGTACATGTACCATTTTATTCTTGAGTTGATACCCATCTTGATTTTAAATGTTACTGTCTAAGATATCTTCATTTGAGTTTCTAACTTTTGTTTTCATTTTCTTTTGCCTCATGTGAAATTTGTCTGAGTTTGCCATGAACTCCGCTCGTTTGCATTTCGAATTGGGCCATAAAGGCCCGATGTTCCTCCCTTCTCGAGTCAGCCCTCAATTATCAACAATGGAGCCGACGAATAGGTCCCCGAAAGTTGATATACAGGTGTTCAAAAGTGCAAGAAGGGTTGTATACACGATGTATACATCAATATACGTGAGATATACATCAATATACAGTGATATACATTCACTGTATACGTTGTATAAATGCAGAGAAATGGGCCCAAAAAGCCCTAAAATTTCATTTTTGTATTTTGTTATTTTTGGGTCTAAGCCCTTCTATTGTAATTATTATTATTATTTGTTAGTTATTAGGACAAGTACAAAGGGACAAGAATTGGGCCAAAGGCCCAAAGGAAAAAACAAATTTCAAAGATTAGTTTAGGATAGGTATATTGGGCCTTTGGTCCCAAAACAAAAAATTGGGCCCAAGTGTTGGTCTAGGCGGATAGAAAATCAGACTTGGACCCAAAACTCATTTTATTTATTTTATCTATTTCGTATTTGTTTCATTGTTTATTTGTTAGTTAATTTGAGGTTTTTCCTTAACTCAAATCCCCAAAAGATGAACCACTCATAATTTTAAAATCAAACAAGTATAATTTATTTAACTTTAGAATATCTAGTACATAAGTAATGTCCTTTTATCCCCTTTCCCTTTTAAAGTAATTTCAAGTCTTAAGTTGTTGTTTCTTTAAAACAAAGTATGCTTTTTATTTTAAAATTGTTTAGCCAAATAGTTAATTATCGGATAACCGCGTGTTAGCGGGCATTTCGGGTGCTTTCAAACCCTTCCCGAGATGCTAATATGAACCCCGAACCCCTTTGAATATTTTCATTAGATTTCTGTTTTAATCTTTTGAAAAAATTAGTTTTCTTAATTTTACTTAAAAATTAAGTGGCGACTCTTGAAACCAATCTAAATTATATTTTTAAATAAAACACCGACTGCCACTTAAAATAAATTTCACATAATAGTCTAATCTGCTACTACATTAACATGTTATTTTCTGCATAATCTGTCACTTTAAATTTGCTATCCTAATAAAATGTTGTCCGAATATTTAGTTTTCTGCATTATGAATAATTGTCTTGCCACTTTAATCAACTAATAAATAATTTCTCCATTCTTTATTAATAAAATAAATCAATTTACAACTAAAATATGTCTTATGTCATAACTATATGCCCTTTCATTAATTAACTGTTATATTGTTGTGTTGCTTGCTGCCTGTTTTATATGCGCGCACACTCGCATGCTACCTTTCACATTACTTGTGTTTGCCAGCATATTTAATAAAATCTAGAGGGCAATATGAGACCCTATGTGCTAAATGCTCGTCCAAATTGTTTGACTTGGTGTCTAGGTGGGCCTATTAGGAATCTTTATTTTATTCTTAGTCTAAAACCTCCTAATAGTAGTCCAATGCCTCTTGGACCTTAAGCGGGGACGCTAAACACCTTTTAGAAATGAAAAGCATGTGGTGGTGGGGTAGGGGTAGTTTAGGCCCTACGGATATGATGACATCGACTCAGGCTTAAAGCGACAAACCTTGATTTTGTCTGTCCCTACAGGGAAGCCTATCAAAAAAATAAAGAAAAGTCGAGTGATGATCTGTAAAGTCCTTTAGAGTCTCCCTTTCCTTTTGTCCCTTTATTTGTTTATAATTATAATTGTTTGGGGTAGCTTAAATAAAATATAAAAATTGCTTGTTTATCTACTTGTGTAATTTATGTCTCCTCACTCCTCTCTTTATTAATTGTTTAATGTTTATTTGTTATTATGTTATCACTTAGTCTTGCATGCTTAACTAACTAATTAAAATAACTAAAGTGCCCTTAATTGTTAAATATTATGTTATCACTTAGTCTTGCATGTTTAACTAATTAATTAAAATAACTAAAGTAATATTAATTGTTAAATATTATGTTATCACTTAGTAAGCATGTTTAAGTTAAATAACCTAAATAAATGACGTAACCATACTTGCTACTTGTAACCCCCACATAATCGCATGAGATACGGCCGGGACCCACATTTGTGGACCTCGAGGGATGCCTAACACCTTCCCCTCGTGGTAACTTTAACCCTTACCCGATCTCTGGTTTGTTGACCTTAGTTAGAATAGTTAGGTTAGATAGGTTCCCTAACGTGCCTTAATTCGTTAGGTGGCGACTCTTCAATTCAGCCCAAAAACCCAAAAGAGTTGTTAGGTCGTGCACCAAAACCTGTTTGCGCAAAAACGGGGCACGACATGCATGTGTTTATAATGTTGTATTGACTTGCTTATGTTGCACTTAGTGGGATAGCCGCGTGATCCCTACCAGTACATTGTGGTTGTGTACTAATACTGCACTTGCTCTTATTTTGTTGAGTACAGGGTATCTTCAAGCGGCTACTAACAGACATTGCTTAGGAGATCAGTGATCGTCATTCAAATTCAAGGGTGAGCCAATTCTTCCGATCTGCCATGAGTTCTCCTTTCGTCTATGTCCACATTTCGGACTTAGACCGTTCTATTAGTTATTAGTACACTAGTTGGGGTTGTATCCCTTCTTGTTTAGACTTGGTTCATTGTTAGATGTTTTGGTACATTGACTTTCAGATTCTAGGCATTACTTCCGCATTGTTAGTTTATTATTGTTAGACTTTTGTTAGAGTTCATGGAAACTCTATTTCTTTCCTTAGTATTTTCGTGCTTTCGTATACTTAAAATGCCTTAGTTTTGATTTAGTTGAAGATCCAAACACTAACTAAAGAAACCAAAAAAGTTGCCTTCTTCAATGTTCTGCTTTATCATAATCTCAATTGTTAAAAAAATGTTACTATTAAATATTATTCTCATATTTGGTGGTAAATAAAATTCCTTTAGGACCAGAGAAGTGGATAAGTACATTTATAAAAGAATTATAGCGATGGGTGGAAAATGAAATTTTCTTAAGATTTGGCAGCCTTTTTTCTTTTGAGATTTGTGGTTTTTTCGAGAATAGTTTTTAAAAATATAATTTATAGAAATTTTTCTATAAAAATAATTATTATTTTATTTCTGAATCAAATATTAATAATTAGTAATAATAATATTGTGTGAATCAAAATGTTCTAAAACAGTAAAAATACTACATCAAAACAACAAATTGGCAATCACTGAAAGTACAATAAGGATTAGTATAATATGCATGATTTCATACCAAATTTAGTTCTAATGGAACATAATTCTACAATTTAATTTTGATATTCAATCAAGTAAGTATAATTCAAAAATTGTTCTAATAAAGTAGTAATATGAATGAATTGATAAGGCACTAGTAACCATATGTTCATAGTACCCGACTATAAATAAAAGGGTTATCTTTTATTTCTAAAAATACTATATATCTTAAAAGTATGAACAACATAACTTGAATATTAAATTATTATAATACCGTCAACTGAAATAATGACCACCAAATATGTAACTTATTTTCTTTGCATTGGAATGTTTTGAGTAATGTATATTATTTTATGTGTTGTAGAATTAGGGAGTTGTGTTCCTGCAAGGAAGTGCTTAGCCAGTGTAAAAGCTCTAGCAGGCTCATAACTTGGCACTTGATGTCCTGCTCCTCTCACTGTTGCAAATGTCAAATTTCCTCTATATACTTGTGCGTATCCACCAACCTATTTAAACGATACATGAAAAAATTTAATTCTCAAAATTCGAAAAAAGTTAGTACTGACCAGGAATAATAAAGATGGTCTTCTCAATGCAAATTTAGAGTCTTGTAACATTGTGGACATTTTATTTGTTGAATTAAGTACTCTCCAAGTTTGTCAATTAAATAATATATTCAATATTACAAATTTCATATTTAAAGAAAATTTACGTGTAAATATCTTATAAATGACTTGATAGAGTTAAAAATTCTTTATAATGACGATTTATATAACCAACTAGTACACGCACCTCATAATCCTTGTGGAACCAGGGATACCATGGCGTTTCAACGCGAAGCTTCATCTTCTTAATAGATTTTTTAGTAGAAGTTACTGGTACTATTCCATCAGTGTCCCCGCTGTCAAATCGAAAAAACAAATTAAAACCATTAAATTGAATAATAAAATTACAATAAATAACAAAAACACGGTTTGAAGAGTTCAAAATCGTTCACCTGAATATCCATACTCTTATTCCATTAGCCATAACTTTTTTGATAACAGGAATTATTGATAATGGACTATCTTTCCAACTTTCTATGACTTCACTGCAATTTAATTAGCGTACACATTAGTTATACATGAACTATACACTTGTATACGACTAAATAAAAAAATTATACATCGAAAATACCTGCATGGTTGCCAATTATGCTTAATTTTGGTGACATTGGCATGAAGAGCCTTTTGAACATCAGGACGATTCATATAAGCAATTAAATAATTATCACTACATGGATCGATCTCTTGCTGCATTCCATAATTAATCTAAATACATACATTATGAATTTTTAAGTTTCAAAAATTCAATCTAATTGACCACGAGTTTTCGAAAAATCCAGAACTTACTGAATTTTTGTTGAACGTATAATAAGTTGTACTGAGGTCATCGGATTTAGGGCATAACGGGGCATATATGTTGTAAAGATCGATGGGATCGGTATCTGCTATAGCTATATCAATGGCGTTATCGCATTGGTGTGGTTGAGGAAGGGACTTGTCTGAGAAATTACAGTATCTGTCGATTTGCTCGAAAATTTCATCTGGTATCAAGCCATGACTTGCATGGTACTCATACATTCCTTTTTCGTCTGTCTCAAAATTTATCACTGCATTCCCAATCTGCCAAAAAAAAAAGAAGAACAAAAACATTTTTAGTTGAGCTGTGTGAGGGATTCATTCAGACTCCCTTGGTTAGAAAGGGGCGTAATTAGGGGGCGCAATGGGTTCATTCAGACTCCCTTGGTAAGAAAGGGGCGTAATTAGGGGCGCAATGGGTTCATTCAAACTCCCTTGGTTAGAAATATACATAATATATATATATGTTAACTTGTTTGTGTGTGTTTAGGTCAAATCGTAAAGTTTTTATTTATAATAATAACAATACCAATCCACACAAAATATTATTTTCTCGAAGTACTATTCGTTCATGTTTAATATATGGTTGACTACCATAATATTTATTTTATCAAAAAAAAATATCTGTACTACATATTTTGAGTACGGAGGAATATAATCTTTTAAGTAAGGAAGCAATAATCATTGGTCCACACAAACATTTATGTGGATTAAAAACGGGACAACTATTTAATTTTTAAAATAGCACAATTTAAAACTAGGGGTGTACATGGCCGGGTTGGATCAAGTTTTTCAAATATTAAACCAAACCATTTGTGTCAAATTTTTAAATTTATAAACCAAACAAACCAATAAAACTCAGGTTTTTCAACATCGGGTTTTTTTGGATTTTTTTAGGTTTTTCGCTTTTTCGGGTTTTTTCGATAAATTATTCATACAAACATATAATTTACTAGTACTTCAAATATTTCTTTAGTCCTATCAAAATACAACTATCTAAGATGTTTCTTAAAAATATAACACAATAAGATATGATTAATGACACTAAAATATCTACCAAAAAAAATTAATAATGAAATCGCGTAAAACAAATATTGCAAATTAACAAGTCATAATGAAAATGATAATAATATAAAAGTACTAAATCATGCTAAAATTAAGTTTAATAAGTATTAGTTACATGACTAAATATTAAAGGAAATTAAAATTAGATTATGTATTTTAATTGTCTAAACCAATGTAAAACTAAAGGACAAATATTTAATATTATTGTCATTCTTAGTGTTGAATTGATTTTCTTTTTGCTTTAATATTAATTTGATTTTGATTTAAGCTTTATTATAATTACCAACATCTGTGGACTATAATCTTTATTGGCCCATTCATAATTCTAAGTTTCAAAGTTGAATTAATATATTAAAAGATAAAAACTATGAAAAAGTATAAGAAATATGTAAAAATTATATCAAAGTAAATATTTTTATATATAAAATAAAATTTTAAAATTATATATATATAATGTCGGGTTGGTTTGGTCTCGGTTTTTTTTTTTTAGTTAAAACCAAACCAACTCAAATATAGTCGGGTTTTTTTTTCAAAACCAAACCAAGTCAAACCAAACCACTAGTCGGGTTTTTTTTCGGATTGACTCGATTTTCGGTTCGATTTTGTACACCCCTATTTAAAACCATAGTGTGGATTGTGATTAATGAAATGGATAAAAATCATAAAATTAAAGCCAGAAATTCTTCGTCAAAGAAAGTGGTCTAACGACTTACAAAATGGATGTAAATTATGGTAAATTTTAATAGGCAGATTTAGTGAAATAGTGGAGGTGCTATAACAAATTGACACGGACATCACCATTATAAAGGAGGAAATAGCATTAAAATACAATTATAAAATGGAGAAGGGTTGGGTGAGAAAAATAAAGTATATAATTACTTTACCATGATCCCCTTTAGGTTAATAAGATTCTTCTTGGCACGTTTGTTATGCTGGAGAATTATTTCTGCCAATTGAGGTACGAAATGCCCGGCATAGCTCTCACCAGCAATGTAAAAATCTCTATTTTTGTACTCCGGAAATCTTTGCATCCAATTCAATAAGAATATAATATTGTCAATAGCCGTATCTCTATCTCCATTTGATTTGACTTCAGAACTTATATTTGAATATGAAAACCCAACGCCAGCGGGAGACTCCAAAAATAATAAATTTGCCGCTATAAATAGAAAATACATAATTCAAATTAAGTTAAGGTCAATTTTATCAATTCCAATAAGCAAAACAAAGTATAAAACAGAAGAACTAATTAATTAATTAATTAATCAATAATTACCTTGATTCCATGAGTAGTTATTCCTATACAATGTCTTTCCATCTTTATGGATTCTAAATGGTCCAATTTCCTCCATGGCTCCATAAGCAAGTGAAGAGCAACCAGGACCTACCATACACAATTCAAGACATTTATCGTAAAACTACAAGTTTATCATTAGAGGCGAATCTAAAACTCAATATTGTGCATAAATTTAAATGTTACATACATAGTTTGAGTCGAATATAATAAGTTCAGTTGAATTCATAGAACCTGCCCTAGATTCATCTCGATATGATGATATGTAGTTCAATAATAACTATGATCAACAAATTAAAGTAAATTTGTGTACCTCCATTAAGCCATAAGAGAAGGGGAAATGACTTGGAATTTTCATGAGCTTCAACAAAATAATAAAACAAGGCACGACCTGCAGATTTGTTGACTGTGACATATCCACCATATTGTTTGAATTTGACAAGTGGTTGACCTGGCAATTTCTTGATTTGATCTTTATTTTTCAACCCTTTTTGAGAAAGAACAAATTTATCCAATTCTAAATAATCAATGGTTGAACTAAAATTGCTACTACTACAATTATTATCAATGGTTGAATCTTTTTTCAATAATTTGTTTAAGTAAAGTTTACCAACACCATGACTATGCCTCTTTATTTCATGACTTGAAGCTACCACAATTTGTGAAAGAAAGAGGGTTAGAAGGAGGAAGAAAATGATTTTTTTCATTTCTTTTGAATTTTGGAATGAAAATAGAAAAATGAATTGATGATTCTGTGTGATAAATACCATTTGGTACTCATTTTGTTCCATATTAGTTGATTATTATATTAAAAGAGTTATCTCATATTAGTTGTCTACCTTACTAAATTAAGAAAACATTAATTAACTTTCTTACATATTACTCTGACAGGTAATTCTTTTTTAAAGTGCTCATATTTTTTTTTGTAAAATTTCCAAAAAAAATAAAAATAAAGGGGTGAATTAGTAAAAATTATCTCCCAATTTATGATTCTTAAGCACCGTGCAAAATGGAAAATAATTGACTAATATGGAAAAGTGATGAAATATGTGGATAAGATATTTAATTAATTAAAAAGAAATAATGTGTACCATATCCATATACGCGTTCAATCATTGAAGATCTGCGATCTAGTATTTATTACACTACAACTATATTTTTAACGGAAAATAAACTCCCAATTATATTGGTGATGGGGGATCTAGTTTCCAAGTTTATTACTCCGTCCCTTTTTAGTTGTCCACTTTAGAAATGACACACAGATTAAGGCAACAATGATTAGCACAGTGAAGTTACAATTTTACCCTTATGACAACTTTTCACTTCAAAATTACAACCACTTATTTGAATTAAAGTGAAATAAATTGGAGGGAAACAACATACACTTTTACAATTTTCAAGAAGTGTAAATAAGGGTATAATAGGAAAAAATTTGTTGTCCTTTCTTGATTTGTCAAAATGGACAACTAAATAGGGACAACTAAAAAAGGAAATATGGACAAGTAAATAGGGACGGAGGGAGTATGAACTAGGGATGTAAAATATTTCTTTTTTTATAAATTTAGTCATAAGAAAAATATAAAATATAAATCATATACCGATAGCTATACATCTTGGTCCTAATAAATCGAAAGAAAATACAAACTAAAATTATAAATCAAATGTCTAAGAATAAAAATAAAACGTTAATGAACAATCCTTTTTAACTGAATGGAAAGTATTATGTAACGTGCCCTTCCTATTTAAATGTTGCTCATTAATAATACTCTCTCCATTTCATATTACTTGAATATATAAGGCACACTTATTAAGAAAATTATTCAAAAGCATATTTTAAACCATATTTCCACTATTGTGCTTTGTAAAATCATAAATGTAACTTTATAAGCAGTGCAATTTGTCTCCTAAAAAATATCAAATTTCATTAAAGAAAATTGTAAATATTGAACAATGAAAAAATGCCCGAAAAAATTTAAATAATATGGAATAGAGAAAACAATATTATTAGTTATTAAAATTATGATACTCTAGTATTAGTGACAGTAAATAGAAGTAAATGCTATTCAATATTTGAGGCAATTGCTATAGTTAGTTAATTTCGTTTCAATTATGATACAAATAATAATTAGTAACCATATTTGGGTGGGGTGGGTGGGTGGAGTCTTTAAAATTTAGTACGTGAAAAAGAGGGGAATTTTTTGAAATGACATAAATAGATTTGTTATCTAAGGAAGGTACGCACATCATCATTTATCTACTTAATTAATTGTTTAATGTCATTATTAATTATATTTTTAGGTATTTCATTAATTAGCACATACTACTCTTTTAATTTTTTAATTTTTTTTAAAAAAAATACTTTTTATAGTTGTTTTCTATTCTCACACACTACTCATTTGTTTTCATCCAAATTCTTTTCCGACATAACAAAATAGAAAAAGACATTACTACACGTTTTACTTTAGTAAAAAATTATCAAATTCAATTCTTTATTTGAGGCAACAATTATTAATGGCACATTTTTCTAGGGAAAAAAGAGGTTAGGGTTCGACGATCCTGACTATTAAAATAAATGTCTATATGTATGTATTGTTATAAAACCATTGAATTGTGGATGTTTCTTTTCATCAACAACATAACGTAATGAACCTATTTAATGTAAAAGTTGTGCTAACGTATTTGATTGAAGGATGTAAAAGGGTGTTTTCTAAATCCTATAAAAGGGTAGTCTTTTCACCCTAATGAAATACATATTTAAAAAGTTCAAAGAATACTTCTACTTAATATTTCTATTTGTCTTACCTCCTTGTTTAGTATTATAGTATTTTGCTCTCATTTTACAACACGTAATCAGCACGAATCTCTAACCAATTAAGACCTAATTCGGAATTATCTTTTTCCCTAAAAAGTTAATCAATTTTCTTTTCGAGTCAGGTATACATTTATATGTTTATAACATATCTAATAGGACTTACATAAGTCTTTGATCAACGATTTAATTACTGCATATATAACTTGCTTTAGGTATTTGTATGATACTTTACTAGGCATAATAATCAATACGTTTCAGGTTTATATTTTTATGTTGTTTATATGCTAGTAACTTATAACTCTAAATTAAATACTAGGATATATGATAACATGCTAGTTAGAATAATCGTAAGTATTTTAATTTCTTGTCATAAATTTATGATAAATATTGGTGTGTCATAAAGAATAATAGTATTATATTAAATATGACTTAAAATCTTACGGTAGCTTTGGCGTTAATAACTATTGAACTAGTAATAAATATAGTAAAATAATTAGAATATATACCGTTTCATACTTTATGAGTTTACATGCTTTTGTAACATCCCATATTCATGCATATGATATATTTTATACTAATTCTTAATCATTTGAAATATTAATTTATCTTTCATTATAAAGAAATCAAAATCATGTTATTAACTCAACTATTTTATGATAGTTTTCATCATGTCGAATTTATCAAAGCTTGAATTTGTGGCACTTGACATTTCTGGAAAGAACTATTTGTCATGGGTACTTGATGCTGAAATTCACCTTACCGCTAAGGGTCTTGGTGATTGTATAATCGAAGGAAATAAGGCATCAAGTCAGGATAAAGCGAAAGCTATGATTTTCCTTCGTCATCATCTTGATGAAAGCCTGAAGGTTGAATACTTAACAGTGAAAGATCCACTTGAATTGTGGATAGGTTTGAAAGGGAGGTATGACCACCTCAAGGCAACGGTATTGCCAAGGGCTCGTTATGAGTGGATGCACTTACGGTTTCAAGATCATAAAACCGTAATTGAGTATAACTCTGTTGTATTTAGAATCACTTCCCAATTAAAATTATGTGGGGAAGTTATAAAAGATGAGGACATGTTGGAAAAGACACTAACTACTTTCCATGCCTCTAATATGATATTACAGCAGCAATACCGTGAAAAGGGCTTTAAAAAATACTCTGAATTAATCTCATGCCTTCTGGTGGCTGAGCAGCATAATGACCTTTTAATGAAAAATCATGAAGTCCGTCCCACTGGAAGTGCTCCATTACCGGAGGCCCACGGGGTAGAAGCACACGGCCAGTCTGAAATAAGACAAAATAATCGGGGCCATGATAATGTGCGTGGACGTGGCAAAGGCAAAAGACGATATAATAATCGTCAAGGTGGTGGTCATAACAAAAGGGAGAACAATATGGGTTCTCAAAATAATCCTTCAAAAGGCAAGGGCGATCACTGTCATCGTTGTGGCCTTAAAGGTCACTGGAAAAATGAATGTCGGGCACCTGAGCATTTTGTTAGGCTGTATCAAAATTCCTTTAAAAGGAAAGGGAATAAAGGTGGTGCTTCCTCTTATAATGCCCGAGTGGAGTCACATTTGACTCTCAAAGATGATGCTCAGGCAGGGTCTTCTCAAAAATATGATGAGAATGTTGAGGCGAATTTAGCATTGAAAGATGATGCTTTTGATGGGCTCGATGATATTACTCATCTAGAAGCTGAGGACTTCTTCGGGGATCGCAACTGAAGATTGATAATTAAACTGGAAAATGAATAATGTTTTTTTTTTTATGTATTTTTAATGTCTTCATTAAAGTTTATGTACTTAAGATTTTTTTTTGTTAAATTTCGTACTTATTATTATGTATTTTTATTTTTATGAAGATAAATAAATTTTTCCAGTCTTCAGTTGGATTCAATATGAGTAATGGAGATATGTGCCTTCTGGACAGTGCCACAACTCATACGATACTAAGAGAAAAGAAATATTTCTCTCATTTGGTAATGAAAAAGGCATATGTTAATACAATATCCGGTAGTACAAAATTGATTGAGGGTTCTGGAAGAGAAACCTTATTACTACCTGGAGGAACATTATTGGTAATTGATAATGCATTGTATTGTAGTAAGTCTCAAAGAAACTTGTTAAGTTTCAAGGTTATTCGCCAAAATGGCTATCATGTTGAGACTGCGAATGAAGGAAAGGTTGAATATCTTTATATTACTACAATAAATGCAGAGAAGAAAATTGTGCATGAAAAATTGTCTGCACTTTCTTCTGGGTTGTACCATACAAATATTGGTACAGTTGAATCACATGCCGTGGTAAACAAAAGGTTTACTGGTTCTAATGATTTTATCATTTGGCATGACCGGTTAGGCCATCCCGGTTATAATATGATGCGCAGAATAATTGAAAATTCACATGGACATACTTTGAAGAACCAAAATGTTCTCAAATCAAAGGAATTTTCTTGTGCTGCTTGTTCACAAGGAAAGTTGGTTATCAAACCATCAGTGGCTAAGGTTGGGATGGAATCCCCTGCATTTCTGGAACGGATACAGGGTGACATATGTGGACCTATTCACCCTGTTTGTGGACCATTTAAATATTATATGGTCTTGATAGATGCATCTACAAGATGGTCTCATGTATGCTTATTATCAACTCGCAATATGGCTTTTGCGAGGTTGTTGGCTCAAATAATAAGGTTAAAAGCACAATTTCCAGATTATGCAATAAAAACAATTCGTCTTGATAATGCTGGTGAATTTACATCTCAGGCATTTAATGATTATTGTTTGTCCACGGGAATAACAATTGAACATCCTGTTGCACATGTTCATACTCAAAATGGTTTAGCAGAGTCATTGATTAAACGTCTTCAATTAATAGCTAGACCATTGTT